AGATTTGGCTGGTTACCTGATTTATCAAGCAAGGTTTTCTCACGCTTAAGCAAATTTTGTGCTTAAAAGCTCTATGAAATTGGCCCCAGTTCACACTGAATATGTGATATAAATGCTGTGCATTGTAGGTTACCGACTGAGATGAATGCTTTGTTCGTCAAATTGAAAAGATGTCTTGACACAAGCCGTGGATAACATGCGCCTTCAACTGTCGCCATGTCAACTAGGCCGTGACTTTTGCTTAATATAATGTATAGTTCAGTCGTATTAACTTTCTGAAGCAAGGTTACACGTTCAAGGACTTTGTCTACAACTCAAACAAACGAACGTGGTCATGCCATCATTTTTATAGAAGAGATGTTAAATTGATACTTTACCCTTGTTGGAAACAAAATGTTATTCAATGCATTCACTGCGGAACATTTTCTACCCTGCAGAAAAAAAAATCACTCTCGCAAAGTTGCAATATCTTGAAAAGCATCGATGCTAGAAAATGTGGATTTCACCAGGCAACTTTGGAAAACTGTAGCTTTTCCATTTTCACAGCGTGGACTTGAACGCTTTGTACTCTTGTTCAATAATTTTCTGGAGTGTTCAAAGCTAAGGTATTCATTCATTTCTGTATCACTATATACAGTTCACTTAACGTTCATCCGGTTCGTAAGTGACTTCGTCACAAAGATGCCACAATTTGCAGGCTCCCATTGGACGATCGCTGAAGTTGTGCGTTAACTTCAATGGTTCCATGTAAACGGGTTCGGTGGAAACGGCGATGAATGCATGTATCTATGTCATAATGGAGAGCAATGATCTATGTGCAATGCACGTGCAGTGGGCGTGGTTTAAACTGAAGTGACGTCACACTTACGAACCAGATTGCCTTTAGTTCAGTCTACTCACGTACGCGCAGATTTATACCTTTGTTCACACTGTGTAGGCCTACTAGACTTCAGTAGTTTGGCTCACTTGTAGTTGTAAACAATATCCTATACTTACTTACCTGATCGATCGATCGATCGATCGGTCGGTCGATCGATCGATTGAGTACTCTGAGGGATAATAGTAACAAACAATAACCTTAATATATGGATAAGGTAAAGTAATAATTCTTTATAATACGTATGTTTACCCTAGCCCGCGCACGCTAACTTGGAATCTTGCTGCCAAATTTTGATTCGACATGATTACTGAGCACTATCATGTTCAACCATTTAAAGAAAGGGAACAATGAAAGTGAAAAGCAACCTTGACTTTCACTAGTTACGAGTTATAACCGGTTACTGGTTAATTAAACAATACGAAGTAAAGTAGTTAATCTTATATTTAAAAATTATCACCTGAGTGCGTTTCATGTTTTACAAAGATTCGGAATGCAACAGCACTGCTTACAAACGTATGTTGTAAGACGTATTAAGAATACAGTAGTCGAATGTCAACATTTTATTGTTTAGGTTATTTTTTGTATTTGTCTGGTTATTTCACTGTAGAGATAATGTACATTCTTTGTCGGGATAAGATTTGAGGAGCTTCAAGATGGTCATTCGGGTCAGTTTTCTGCCTGTACATATGTATATGTGTATAGCACAGAAAGTAATACAGGTTACCAATGAATCAAAATAGCAGGCTGTAGGCTTACTGCTTGAAGCTGGATCTTTGCTGATTTTTCAAATTATGATAATTATAGTAACAGAACACGAGCAATAGTAGCAGCGGTGGAAAATTAGTCTGAGCACCGAGGGGTGGCCGAGAGCGAGTGTCAACGCATCATGGACGATCGAATGAAGGTTGCCAATACCACGTTAGAATTGATTCAAGACACAAGGTGTCAAGCATGGAGACATTTCATGTGTTCGTTATTGAAACAAGGTAGATGGTTACACAGTCACGCTCAAGCAAAGGCAGCCAAAAACATTCTCCCTTCACTTTCAATGCAGATTTCCCCCTCTGAAATTTGTGCAGGCATCCCTATTTAGCTTTTACACTTGTCATTTTAATGATTGCATTGATAACAATCAGTCCCAACTCGCACAGTACAAGTTGGAAAAATGAAGAAGGAATTGATCCAATGTTTTTACTGGTTGTGAAATATTCTCAATCCCTATCTGGTTGGGGAACAAGAAGAATTCCGTGGTGTAAGTCAATGGTGTATAAATCCACCAGCACAATAATCGGTCCCAAGTTAAGGTTACCCACATTACTATATGAGGTACGTGTCCTGCTGAAATCAATTATTTGGGACAAATTCCACTCTTCGAATGATTCAGTCGAGCTGGTGAAAATAGAAAAATGGTATAGTCAATCCGAGATGACTCGAATCGAACTTTGAACAGTTTTTATCCAAGTGCCGTTCGTTTATAAAGTGATCAAGCATAATTTCAGTGTTACAATGATTATATTAATTTTAATGTTTTGTGATTGTAACCGTATTTGACTTATCTTATCGTCTCTAAGTATTCTTAATTGTTATACGTGAATTAATTTTAATGCTCGTAACACCACACTGAATTTCAATTTATGTTTACACAAATGACAATAAAATATTCAGAAATTCTTGCCAGGAAACTGAACTTCTTCCAGCTAGATATAATCAAGTTAAAACCATACTTCAAATAGTCCCACCGAGGAATTTTTCCTCGACACATATTTATGCACTTTATATTCTAAAAGAATATAAGGCCGAAAAAATAGTTCTGCTTCTGCTTAGGCCTAAATGCCTCTCAAATGTAGGGTAGGTAGGTCGGAATTTTTTGGTCAATTTTTGTGCTGATTGAATGGCATGAACGGGGACGAAATTACCACGAAAAGTGGTAAAAACTTGCCTTAATCGATAAAAAAATGTCCACAGTCGACATTTCTTACGAATTATGGATAAACTAAGTTCAACGCTAGTCGGGTAATTACGATGGCAAACTGACCAACAATGTCACTGTATCGTGTGGTAAGCGTGCGTGATGCATCCAGATGGGCAGGCGTTAACCTCTTGCCGCGGCAGGAAATTTTGTGGAACACGCTCGCTTCAAATACGAGCAAAACAACCTCAAATAAAACTCGTGATCACAGAAACAACATTCATAGACAAGAGACCAAGAATTAACTTGCAGAAATTTTCTTGCAACATTAATGTTTTTTCGACGAACAGCTGTTGGGTGTGTACAGCCGGTGTAGTGTAACGACACTATTTCGACTAGGGCGTGTAGACTGGTTGCCACATTTCCATCAGGATCGCGCCGAACTTGAAAACTAGGGTCGGTCAGGAAACCGGAAAAAGACGTATCCTGTTGGTTTAGCGTGTGAAGACTACATGTACATGTATTTAACTTGTACTGCAAAGTGCACTTTTCTGAAAATATCCAAAATTATCTATGCTTTATGACAGACAACTGAGGGCGCTGTCGCCCAGATGTTAATCAGGGGAGATATTGTCTAATTTATTGTTTCTGTTAAAATTTTGAACCCAACGTTTGCTCGCTGCAGATTTGTTTGCTTGTTGGAAAGCATTTACCCAACAAGAAATCACTAAATAAAAGAAAATTTAGGACTGCAATATTACATTCTTGCCAATTTTAAACACAAATTAAGGCAACATTGAGATTTTGTTTGGGAAGAAACATGACATTTTTCTCATGAATAATTATGGAAAATCGAAAATGTAATATACATGCAAATTAACATTGTAATACCTTTTCAATAAACAAAATAAATATTGGGAAAAACACTGATTAAAGCACCAAGGTGCATTCTAAACGGGGACAGTCATGAACCTCTCTGTATAATAACAGGTATATAAAGGATTTCATCAATGTCAATATTGACTTGTGTTTATCGTATGAATAGCACAGATTCATCAGGTGCTATGGGTTTTACGCGCCTAGCAGCTCGTTATCATTAGGCAAATCAATTCTCAATTTGCTTTGCCAAGCAAATCAAGCTGATTTGATGAAGTCGACAGGACACACCAATTTAGCTCATTATACTAAACCAGTCTCTGGCTACTTCTCATATTTCCATTTGTGAATTCCTGTACCATCCATCTTTCACAGTAATCAGATTATCAACCTGCCACAGCTCACTTAATCAAGCTCCGACACCTTAATGGGATTTTTTACTTTACACCACTTGGCTGCTAATGGATTTTTTTATTTGCTGAAGTGCATGTACAGCAGTAGTGAATGCCAACAACTATGGATGGAGTTGGAGTAGCAAATTGTTGGCAAGAAGGAAACCATTTGGGGATAATAACACATCGTTATGACTCCTTTGCATAAAACAGCACAGTGGAAGTACCTGTCTCCATTTTTTCTGCTCAGCCAAACAAACATGAAATGGGATGTAGAAAACTAGGCCACTACAATAATAGAATGTTAATAGCATAATATATTATAAAGGAGGGTGGCAGAATTTAGTCCCAAGGGTACTGAATGAAAAAAAATGAAAGTGGTTGCACTGTCTAGTCTGATATACTCAAGCTGTGCAAATGTTCAGGTGTGTTGCGAAGACATCAATTTAATTGAAAATGTCAAGTTCAGTATAAAATTAATGTGTTTCTCTGTCTGTCTGAATTGATAGGTAGTACAAACCAAAAAACAAGGAATTGATTGAGCAAAATGTTGAAAAAAAATAGCAATTAATCTCTTACCTGTTTTCAATCTGGGTAAGCAACCAGTACCTTTCTTGCATATATCACCTTTACAAGGCAGGCTCATTCCATTCAGATAAATTTCAAGAGTGTGAATCATGGATCAGTGGATGTGACAAATTATGGGTGAGAAAGCTCGGAGGTGAAATCTGTGGAGTGCAAAATGTGAGTCCAAAGGTTAAAAGTAGAAAGTTAAATGGCCTCACTCACTCAGCAAGTCATAAACAGAAACTGTGAACTCCATTAGCATTTGTGCACTGAGGATACCCCCAAGACAAAATGCATGAACTTAAGATGAATGGTAACATAGAGCTTGAAGTCGCCACTTTAACATACATTTTCCATTGACACTTTGCAACACACATCACTCCTGACACTTATTCCACGGCAATTTTTTTTTTTTTTGCAATTTTGATTTACATCACACACTTCTCAAAACCTAATATGAAAGGGTGTGCGCCATCCCAGCAACCATAAAGTACTTACACGAATGGATGCATAAAATTAAATAAACACTGCTTCACTGATTTTAGCGTAGTACAAGGCAATAAGATCCATGGGGAGTTGGCAGATCAAAACCCTGCTCTACCCGCCAAAAACTAGAAAAATAAAAGACAAATGTCAGCTAAAGCCTACCTCTTGACAAACCTGGATCAGCCCAGCCCCACAGTGGTTAAGTGAGCTTTTCAAAATATAAGAAAAAAGGTAAGCCCATGTCTGAAATAAGAAATGAAATACAACGCAACCTAACTTTGCTCATACTGAAAGGGAACTGTTTATCAGAACTGAGGAAACAAAGCCCCACGGGCCTCTATCATGTGGCAGCCATCTTGCTTTTCTACCCTTTAAAGCAATGTAAGCGATCTGAGGCTAGGCTGGAAGGAAAAATAGTCTGTTCCCTGTTGTCAATATGTGAAATTGTATTGCTATTGCCGATGTACCTACGGGAAACAAGACAAACATGGCAGCATCGGTAGAGGTCTCAAAAGGAGAGCTGTAACCGTGGTCCATGGAGATTGAAACAAGGCATGCAAACAACTGAAAATCCACTCTTATATATTCAGACTGACTGGTTATGCGTGGAATTGGAAGATGCCCTCATTTAAAAGAAACAAAATTGCTGACAGGAAACACACGCTGTCAAGTCATGCGGGCCAATTGTTTTTCAATGTATCTTTACTTGCACTCAGGACACTTATCCTAACCCCTTCAAAAGCCGAAAATGGCAACAGTTTCCAAATTTACCTCTGTGGGTCGCAAGGCCAAAATTATTTTTCAAGACAAACAATTGCAAGTACATGTAGGCCTAGCCAGGCCGCCTACTTAAGGTAAGCCTAACCACAGAGACAAACATTAATGTAAAGAAAATTCACAGAATAATTTCATTTGCCAGCTGTTAAATCAAAGACTTATCTAATCAACGACCACGAACTCTGTCTACCCTGAAAGTCTTTAGGGGGAATTCTCTTCTTACTGTATCCATGGTGATTAAAAGCACTTAACCGCCTGTGTGTCACTGTCACTTCCCACTTCTAGTCTGTTCCTTTTCATTTCATTTCATGAAAAATATTGAAGATCACGCAGTTTCATTGTGTTCGCATCGAGTAGGAACAACAGAGGGCGTGCTTTGAAATTAAATGGACCATGCAGGGTTCACACCATTGATGATGCATAGGACATCGCGTCCAAAACGCGTCCTGCGTATGCGTATTTTCAGGAGGGTAAATAACAAGCGTTGCGAATTTCGTTGCGTGCACTTTCAAATGGAGTTTTTCAAAAACCGGTTGAGGTTTTTGTGCTTCAATCGTCAGATTTCGAAGAAAAACTGAATTCTGCACTTGGAATGGATAAATTTGGAAAGAATAACGGCTGAGGTGTACGCAGCAGTGAATTACCGGAGATCAACGTCAAGCTTGGAAGAAGGGACAGAAGGAAATGTGAGTCCCACTGTTTTAGTTTCAGAAAGTTTTTCAAGTTGTACTTTATAATGCTTAACTTTAAGCCAATATAAGCCTAGTAAGAATTTTATGACAGTCTATCTGGTCTGTCAGGCTTTGTAGGCTTGTATGAAACTTCACTATGTCTAAGTTGGGACCGTCTGAAATGTTACTTATTGGCAAAAGTGGTTTCAAAACTGAATGACTAATTTGTCGTTTATTATCCCCAGATTTCCGTGGAAAAAATCTCCAAGACTGTGTTTGTCGGATCTAAAGACGCACTGAACCCAAATCGTGTGACAGACGATGTGCTATGAGTGACAGAACTCTTCTTCGGGGCAGAAATGAAACCAAAGTGAGAAGAATAGTGCTGACGTTTCTGATGAATGAAGTTACAAGCAAGGGAATTCAAAGCCTTCTACGCAATGAAAGAAACTTCGTCCAGATAACAAAATTATTCGTTCGTTGTTAAAATTTACCTTTTTATGCCGGAAAGTACATGTAGTTGTTAAGTGTAAATCTTTAAGTCAGGTTGTGAACTCAACTTTTTGTTAAGCTGATTAATAGACCTAAGTGTCTGTTTTAAAAACGGCAGGAAGTTAGTTTGGTCGCTCATTTAAAGCTGCGCTGACTTTGTGCTCACAGAAAAGATTCTCACACTTCCGTATGCCGCATGTCGGTTTTCAATAAAAATTACTCAATATGTGAATGAATTTTTTTCGTACAATTTTTCCTGAGAGTGTGTAAAATTAACATCATTTTATTGATGATTTTTCAGTGTTGGCTCATCGAAACCACACGGAAAAACACATGGACAGTTTGGACATCATATATACCGACAAAACCTATTGCATGTCCTGGTGGAATTCTCAAAGTTTTACACACTGAACTAATAACGATTGAACCGACCCAAAGTAAAAATATTGCTAAAGCGTGACCGTAGACAATAGGTGTAACAAATGAATTAAAAACAAACACACAAAAAACAAGTTAACATTATCGCTTTCGAGTGGGTTAGAAAATGGTCAGTTATTTCCGGAAATGATATTCTTGCACTTTCTGTTTATGTTTGGCTTGTTTTCTGGAGGGAGGCCGAGGTCTTAGCCATCATCCCATGAGAAAAAGGTTATGTTGACCAGAAATGCACAGCATACAGCATCACATTACCCTCCTGAAGCACCGCCATTGTTCGGCCGCGCATTTTGTGCACAAACAATGCGCGATGTCCTGTCCAGTCTAAATAATCAAGATCAATTGGGTTCACATTCACTCACGGGCTCGCGCGTGGAGCACGCTGAGTCCGCGCAACGAATTTTATTATTGACAAGAATAGATATAACATTAGTTTTCTGAAATTTGTAATTGCCGAGCTTTCGGTAACTGAGTACCTTCTTCAGGGCAAGCAGATTCAGTTCTGAATGAATGCGGAAAAATCCACGTTCATTCCCCCTGGATGCTGCGCTCCAGTTCCTTACGCTGTACATCGGATGACGCTTTCCGCAGAATGCAGACGCTTACGTCACTGAGGGAATGTGGCGGTGCGCAAAAGTACTGCGCAACAGTGAGACCAGGTGTTCCGCAAAGCGGTCACCAAGGCGACGTTCCATATTTCAACGAATTTTATTAGTCTGGAATGTAAACATTTAGTACCATCTGTCTTTCTCTCGCAGGTAAGGGTGCATTTCAGCTTAGGGCGTATACCGCCCGCTAGTGGCATTAGTGGCAGCTGCCTCGCAGTTGTAACTGGAAAATTTGCCAAGACAGTGATAAATCCAGGTTGGGAACCTAGGATTTTTGTTAACGTCTGTAATGTCCAAGTAAGCATTTCATTCAAGAAATTCATGTAACAGTAAAACAGATTTCATGACCACTCCCCACCACCCATAACTGCATAAACGCTTGTCATCTGATTGGTGGATTGTTGATCACTTGTCATTGAATTCTCAGTTTCTTGACTGGACATCGCCGCAATGATTATTCAGTTTGACTTCATGCCAGCACCGTGCAAAAGTGAATAAGTCATTCTATTAATCAAGTACCATTGAATAGTCTGAATAGAAACCTTCATTTCATAAGCATTCGTTATAAAAAGGGAGTAAGGATATATCATTTCTCAGCATTGAAGAAATTAATGTATTTCTGTCCCCAGTTTTAAGTAAAACTCCGTCATCAGTAAATTACAAAGAATAAAATGAACCGAGCAAAATAAAAGTGCAATCAATGGTCAGCACCATCGAGGTCAAGGACCGTACCGTGCCATAATTAATAGACAACAGTGATAAATACTTCCACTCGGAAACAAATTAGGAAAAATACTCACTAGTTTCTCAGGTGTTCGAGGTATATATCAAATCAGAGATCACTTCCTCATCATTCATTTTCCTGTCACTTTTCAGCGGCTTCACCGATGACTTTTGAAAATATTTTCTCTCCAGAGATAATCACCTCTCAAACAGTCACGAGGCCCATCACCATTTTGAAAATTGATAACTACTCCAGTGCAGAATAGACCCAATCGGAGCGTTCCTTTCAGAATTGCAAGCAGGCAGTCGTGCCGAAAGAGTCCATCCTTTTAAACAAAACCATCCAGTCCACGCGCCACAATTTCGACCACCAGAATGCTGAATTCTTTCCTCAGCAGTTCTCCATTGTACTCTGCACAATTCGTGCCGTCAGGCGAATCCTGAAAATGGCGATATTCTTTCTCCCTCGGGCAGTCATATTTGTGTGCACATTGCGCGATCAACGGCAAACACTGACATGACTATACATTTCAGTGTCGCTCACGCCATGCATACTTACATACATACCTGTGGTTAGTTTCTTCAACGTGGCGTGAGAATTGCGCGTGGGGAAACAGTGACATGGTCTGGTCAGTTCCACAGTGTATGCTTATAGGTTGTGCACAATGCGCACAGCTTTGGAAACGCCAATTTTGTACTTCGCGATGTTCTATATACAACCAACCGTGTACAGAAACGGCCATATCAGCGGGTGTATGGCCCTTTTCGCGCGAATTACATCCGTGTCTAGGAGTATACCAGCGAAAAGCAGTTTGAGAATAGCGACAACGCTCCAATTAATATTATCAGAATACAATTGGAATGGTACGGAGGCGTATAAGGGCCACCTGCAAAAAAGATTTTTTCGAGATACTCCCCGCTGCGAGTTAGCTATAACTAGTTCAAAACTCGTTGCATATTGAGACTCAGTCTGGATACCAGACCCAATCATTCCGATTACTCCTTTTATCAAGGGTCCTGTATCACCCAACGTCCACGTGACCAACACTCCCCCAGATTTCAGGGAATAGTCGAACCATTCCAAACCTAACAACACGTTTTCTTTAATGCTCCTCAAAACTGTAAAAATTGTTACAATGATTGGTGGCCGAATGAAAGGGGAGAGGAAAAAGACCATTCGGATGGTATCGTTAATATTCGGGCATTTCCGGTCCTCCCGTCTGTACCAAGAATTTTGTGAACTGTCCGTGGTACACCGGTCGGAGTACGCCATCCACTACAAAGCGAAATTAGGGCAAAAAAATGGAAAATGTTTTTGATATATTGATTGATTTTTTGAATTTATAAACAGCTTGTATTGTAGAAGTTTAGTGTATATTTTTCAAAATCCGAGCAAAATTTTAAGAATCACATTTCTTATTTTAGATGCCGAATCGAGTGAATTTTTAAAGAGCGAATGAAATTTTATACACGCAACGTAATATCTAGGACTGAATGAATATTCAAAGTTCGAAATTCTTTCAAAATAAAACAAAAACTTTACAATGTAAACATTTTTATCGAAATTTAGACATATTTTGCAACCTAACGTCTTAAGTATTTACAGAAATATCACTTTATCCGAATTAAGAAATCATCTTCATTGAAAAATTATCAGATCTGAGAAAGCATCCGAATTGAGAATGCATCCCAATTGAGAACGCATCCACAGCCGCGTACAAAAAGTATTCGATCTTTTAGACGGTATTCTGTGAAAGCCTCATAGTGCTTCAAACATATTTTTGAAAAAGTAAAGCATATTTTTTCAAGATTGTCTTAAAGAAGTTTTCAAAAGTTGCTTTTATTCGTGGTTGCTTATTAATTTGGATTTTTGTTAATTTAGATGCTTTCTCGTTATATTTTGGATCGCAAGAGATCTTGCATAAAATGCATGATGTGATACAGGACCTTTGAAGAGAAGAGAAGTCGGAATCACTGGGTCTGGTATCCAGACTGAGTTTTAATATGCAGTGAGTTGAGTTTTAGCTAACTCTCCGCGGGGAGATAGTATCTCAAACAAACTTTTTGCAAGTGGTCCTTGTACGCTTCCGTAGAATGGAAAAGATGGCAGCAGTTCATATTCTTTTAGAGGAAACTAAAAAGTAAAAAGACTGTGCGGTGAAGTTACAAAAGTGGATGATTTTTTCGAAAAGGATATTTTCTTGAAGTAGAAAATATAAAGTATAAGGCACGTTGATGATTTGAACGTGCACCATTTGAGCATTTGCTCGGGGAAAAAGCAAGCAATAAAAAATCGTTAGCTGATGATATTGCTGTGCTGAATGATTTCAGGAAAATGCCTGTTTTGACAATGTTGATAGGTTAATTTTTACCGTCACTTGTCACGATTGTGTGTTTTTCATCAGCTTCCTTACTTGATCTTTAAGAAAAAAACAAAGAGTACAAAATGAAACACACATTTTGTCTTCTGGTTTCTTTCAGGTAAGTTTTACTTCTTGGGTGTAAAGAGAAGTGAGTTCCGAGAGAGATGTTTCCCCTTTATAGGACCCATACTCAAAAATGAAGATTTAATTTGATGTAGTTTGATCAATTTCACGAGCATGTTAACCCTGAATGAAAAAACACAAAATGATTAGCAAATAAAGACCTTTCAATACAAACAAGCCCCTTTAAGAAAACCTTTCTGAGCCCAAATATAGAGAAAGAAGTAAGCATCACATTTTTATTCTGTTCACATATATATCACTTACACTCTTAAACTCATTTTAGGAATAGTGAAATAGTTACTTTACATCACCAAATCTTGGAGCTAGCAGTTTCCAAAAACGTTATCCACAATGAGAAACACTTTCTGATGACCATAATAAAACTTTGTGTGAGATTATGTGATCTACAAAATTACTTCAAATTACAGAATTACCTCAACCAATAAAAAAAATACCAATAAAAGGTAAAAATTCATCTCATGGATCCCATTCTTTAAGGTAATTTATTACTGTCAAACTCACATTTTATATAAGTTATCACAAGAGTGCAAGCGTGATAACAAATTTATTGTCAAGCAAACTTGACGCCCACTAAAGATGTTATAAGGGCCTATGAGCGCAATGTGCCATCTCTGAATTCACATGAAGCTTTGCAGTTGTACGTTTTGCTTTTAGCATAAAAATGGTGCGTTGCATGGTGTTAGAACAGAGCATTACGCAGCACAGGTTTGATATGAACAATGTAATACAGTTATATTTCACACTGTTTGCCGCCATGGATCGACCAATCAGAATTGAGAATTCAAGATTGCCTGAGGATAAATATTGGAATACACTGAGTATACCTCGAGTCTGCTGCGTTGATTCCAGGCAGTAGAAAAATGGGAACCAGTCCAATTACTGAGAAAAGCAAAAATGTTACTTGAATACTCCAAAGTCCCATCGCAGTTTAACCAAAGAACTGCTAAACATAGGTATGCTTGTACATGCACCAGAACCATGGCAATCACAAAGCTGTTCAGTTATTATTGATGAACAACATGGATTTGGAAAAAAAAAATATATCACAAACTTCACTCCACCACTGCCTCATCTTTTGGTCATTTCTTTCTACAAATATTTCAGTTACACAAGCACTGAAACTACCTGAGCCTTATGAAATGAAAGACTGCATATGTTCCAGTTTGCCATTGAATATATTGAGAATGACAGTAATCGACTCAAGGGAAGGTTTTTCTTAACATTTTGGACACTTATTTATTTCTGCTACATTCATTCCAATTTCATGTCCATTTATGATCATCACTTTTCACAATTTATGTGCAGCGAATCTTTTGTTCAATTTTATCCAAACAGAGAGAGTTGGCATGGCTGCCATCTTGCAGGCCAGTGCTTTTGTTCCTTGGGGCATACACAAAGGAGGTTTCTCTGTGATACAAAAGAATTGCCCTGCAAGATGGCTACCGTGCAAAGCCTCCACACATCATTATTTATCATTACTGCATTCTAGCCTTAAATGATTGTTCAACTGATTGTCATTTTCAAAAGTTGCTGGTCACACACTTTCAATGCACAAAAGAGGAAATGAGCTGTAAAGATAAAAGGACACGGAACACAGCCATAGCCCTGACAACAGGCAAAAAGCTGCACAGGCTGGAAGGAAAATACTTGATTATGGCTTGTGTGATTGGACTACCTCAAGTTGACTGACTGGCTGGCTGGTTGGCAAACAGGATGTAATATTTGGTCACAGTCGAACACTCAATGGTGAAAAAGCAGCTCAGTGGATGCCTCTTCAGTTCTGCTGGAAACAATCAAGAGATATCAGTTTATGGAGAGTCATGTCATGCCACAAGATTAGTGTGGTGGTCCTTTCTTCAAGCTCTGACCTCTGATGATGACCTTTGAAGGCCACATGGGGCAGACTGAGAGTGGACATTTTTCTGATCTACAGCTGACCAATTTTGGTCTGGACCAATTTATTTACATTTGTCCCACATATAAACTGAAATTTCATTCATCATTTCCTCTCAAATTTAAGAAGAACTTGAAAGGAGAATACTTCTAAAGCAATGTTATGGGTAGGAAATAGATGACCCCTCACAGTCCTTGAAGAATTCAGAGGTATTGAGATTGATAAATGAGCAGAGATGCAAAAAACAGCAATGCTGTGCACCCATAACTACTCTTTTCACAGTTATCTTTTGATAACATCCAGTAACACAGAAACCATCTGCATGCAGCTGCTTCATTTCCATCTACGTCCAAACCATTTTGCTCGGGTACTGATATTTATCTAGATCTACAGCCTAAACATTTAATATTTGCAGTTCCGAGCCCACCTATTGTGGTTCTAATTTTACAGTGGGAACCAGTGAATGTCACAGTAACATGTGATTTTTAAGTGATGACTAGACTCACTCACAGGGAACTCATGGGAAACTAAATTTCATTTTGCGATAAAATGTCCATGGTTGAGAACTGCCTGAAAGATGAATATGGAAGGAAATGAACACTGATAGAAAAATACACGAATTTAGGGGTTTGGTTTCATGTGTAAGAATATTCCTTTTTTACTCAACTGTTTTTATAATATTGGCCCAAAAATCCTAGAGTGGAAATATCTATGAGGTAGGCCATAACTCATCAGAAGAGGCTCAAACTGGAAACAGGTGCATCAACTGACAATCACTGTATCAAATAATCACTATACTAAACATGCAGAACAGTCGAACATTTTCAGGATTTGGTCTTGGTCTGTTAAATCAGCAGCTACAACTGAAAAGTCGTACATTTGTCAACTTTGACAGGAGGCCTAAATGTTGGTTTTTGTGGAGGAAGGAAGAATGTAGGACCTGGAGAAAAACCCTCATGGCACAGGAGAGGTCTAACGAACTACGGACTCCATTCGCACATACATGTACGTGTAACCCAGGTTGGGACGTGAACCTAGGACCACAGTGGTAAGAGGCACAACCACCCATGCCATCCCTGTATGGACTCTGTTGTCACGGATAGTCATTCTTGTTTAATATTAGTAGCCTTGTACTGTTCCATGTGCAATGGGGAAAGAATTTTGCATACTGCTACCACTTTTTTCATCATCATCTCAATGAAGGCCGGACATTGCATTGCAGAGATGCTGAAAATACATACTGGACTCTTACTTCCAAACTGTAAGGCACAATCTGGTATGCCTTACAGCCCTACAACTTTTTATGAGTTCATTACACAATGGGTTTTGAATGCAGCCCCTGTAAGATCAAATCAATGCTGATCAGGGTACATTTTATTACTGCACTAAAAATTCCACTTTCTGAATCAAATCCTGCCTGAAAAAGCCATATGAACTGTTCAATATCTCTCTGAAACTCTTGACTTAGGATTTTAAGAACATGTGAGAGACTACTTTCTGAAAAACTCAGAGCTTTTAGTCCCCCTCCTGTCATTCTCTTTGACCTTGTGACAAACACACTGCGCACATTGTATGTATGACACTACCCACGCATCAGGTTGCTAGCCAACCCCCTTGCATATTTGTAGCAGTCTCTGCCATCACATCAGGTTCATACATGTCAGACGGTAATGTGGGAAATTAGTTAGAAGAGACACAATCAATAATAATCACGTTTAATCACACACAATCATCAACTCAAACTTTCAAAGGAGCCATCTTGATAAGCACATGTTCTTGCCTTGCCGCAATGAACTTGCATGGTCCAATGTCCTGTTATATACTGGCTTGACCATTTTCAGAGACGGGAGATAGAATCTTGATTTCATGGCACTGCGTGATCATTTTCGTAACTTTCAACATCCCATTGTGATATGAACTCATAAAAGGTCATCAGGCTGAAAGGCAAACAGAGTTGTGGCTTCTGGAAGTACTAAAATCTGGGAATGAGAAAAATGTCAAAGTTTGCATCTACGTGAAGTATTTAGGCACCTAACGTTAAGGCCTCCCCCAAAAAGTTTCCGGTTTCTGGTCAAGAGCTAAATGTAGCTCCAAAGGTGGTGCGGCGACACAGCTTTTGTTTTTCTTCCCTCACCTTTTTTTCTGGAAATGATGCACGTATAACATGTGATGTCCATCATGACAACAAGCTCACGTAATGCTGGCCGTTGCAACACTAAATAGACTGGGCCCGCACTTTTTACTGTTTAAAAGCATTTTCAGCTTGCACATGTACACAGGACATAAGACCACCTTGTTTGTCTGGTTCCCAGATGTACATGTAAAAGTATAATATAGCAATGACGTCATCTGAAAAAGAGTGCTCGACTAAATGTATGGGGCACCAGAGGGACTCCTCCGGGACTGTATACTTGGGGACCCCTGGGTTTTTTGTCATTTTAATCTTGCAAAACTGGTAAGTCCCCCATAAAACAAAGGCAACACTCTCTTTATTTCACTGACCCCATTTTTTGGAAATTTCAAGTTGTAAATTGTGAGAAAATATGACTTTCTTAATGATAAACTAGCCAAGCAAATTTAACTCCACCTAGCCCCACACATGGGGCTGTAGTGGCTCTCTTTTACCATCTGTTCTTAACTGTCGGATCACACGACAGTTAAGAGACAGATTGTAAAAGAGAGCCCCTACCCCCCTAAATGTGGGGCTAGAATCTACCATGCATGCCATGTGTCATGTGTTAAAACATTCACACTTTCCCCTCATAATTTCCCTCAAAACTCAAAACCCTGCCCTTTTTTGACAACATCAACCCTTCAGTTATTGAGCACAATGTCACAGTCATCTACTAAGGTGGATTCGAAGTTAAAATGTAGCTCTTCTTGGCTTTTATTAGAGGAACAGGGTCCCCAAATTTACAATCCCCAACTCCTTTACTGTATATATTACTCAACCGTACCCCATAAAAACATGTTAAAATTACACAGTGGCAGGATTCCAGTCAATTAAGCAAATCAAACTTATGGAGTAATTGCAGAATACCCCGCCACTCAAAAGTTACCCCCTCCCCCTGAAATAGTTAGCTATGATGTCGAAGTGGCTGTGGTACAGTCCAAGATGCAAAATGAAATGGGTGCAATTGCAAACGGGCAAAGGTAACTATTGGATTTAACATGGGGATGCAAGGGTCAATGAATGGAGGATGAATGAGTTTGGGATGGCTGAAAAACTTCCTAGTCCAAACCACTGCAAGTACTCCGTAGTCGGCTATGATTAACGATAGTACTTCGTGCTGCACAGTTGACGAACTCATTACATCACGTACATCTCTGCAACATGTAGGTAGATGAGTTCGCAAAGTGTATATTGCACGCATGCACTTAATGCGTGATCCAAAACTAGGAAACAAGCTGCGTTCAGTTTTCGGCCAGTTTTAATAAAACGCAACTTTGAAAGTCATTTTAATTAAACAGAAATTTGATGCAAGAGTTTAAATGACTGTTGAGTGTGAATAAAAGGATTTGGGATCACTCACAGTTTTATATCTCGCCCTAGACTATTTGCCATTTTTTTCCCACTACTATTCCAAAATGTCAAAGTGCAAATCAGAAATCTGGCCAAATTTTCCGAGAGCAAGTTTTGTTCAAGTTTACATTTCACTTTTAAACTAGACCCTGTCTGAGCAAAGCAGGTCAACTCATACGCCACCCAACTCATACACCGACCAACTCGTACGCCGACCAACTCGTACACCTAGTATAACTAATGTTATTAGAAACATCCTGAATAATTCCTGTCACTACCTTGACTGATAACAGGGATCCAACTTTCACCCACACCCCCAAACAGTGTGAATGAAGATTTGAGTAAGTACGTGCTGCAAAGCTCTAGAGAGGTTCTGTTTCAATTGTAAAATTTCAGAATTGTTCCCGTAAAATTACGGGACAATTCCATAATTTTACGGGAAATGTCCATTACGGACACCGTAAATTTATGGACATTTTTTACAGTGACTTAATACCAATCTTTAAGGAATCTAGGCAAAATCTAAAAATTACCAGTCTCTACCTAAAAAGAAAAAAGTAATGAACAATCAGCTTATCTGGTAATTTACATTTAATTGATTTACATCTAAAGGTAAATTTGGTTAAAACACGGCAGCAAAAGCTTGTACGAGGTTAATGCTCCGACGATGTACGAATTGGTCGGTGTACGAGTTGGTCGGCGTACGAGTTGGTCGGCGTACGAGTTGGTCGGCGTACGAGTTGGTCGGCGTACGAGTTGGTTGGCGTACGAGTTGGTCGGCGTACGAGTTGGTCGGCGTAAGAGTTGGTCGGCGTAAGAGTTGGTCGGCGTACGAGTTGGTCGGCGTACGAGTTGGTCGGCGTAAGAGTTGGTCGGCGTAAGAGTTGGTCGGTGTACGAGTTGGTCAGCGTAAGAATTGACCAGCATTCTGTCTGAGAATGTAGAACTGATGAAGGACAACACCAAGGAGGTAGGTTTTTATTTCAAGCGATCCAGAACTAGGAAAACGACTGTAATGCATACGGGCACATACATGTACGTGCAGTGCAGGAGCAAAATCAGTTGATTGCGGAAAGATTGACTTAGTACAGCCACCATTTTTTAAATACCTCAGAAATAAGGCTTGTTAATATACATGTATCTGCTACATGAAATTCCATCCCATCATTAAGGCATACATCATGTATAGTATTTTACAACGTGGCCTCAGTAGGCTGAGCGCACAGAGTCCCACCGGACGACTTGTCTCTCCCTTTTACGCACGGACCGTCGAGTTATCTGGACCCCTCTCTTCCTACCTCCATCACGTCCAGTATAAATTAACCCATGAAAACTTTAGGCCTAGGCCTACTACAGTAAAATCTCGATAAGTTGAAGCCCGTTGTAGGCCAACTGCCATAAGCCAGTAAGGTTGCATGTGCACTGAAGCGTGTAACTTTCGATAACTCGAACTTCGACTCATCAGCTGAGTTCGGGCAGCTTGTTCCCGTATGTTCACGAACAGCTCGATTTGTTGTTTGTGGGTCGGCCGCTCGAACACCGGGAACAAACAACCGGTTATTACAAGCAACATGCAACATGGCGGCGTCTATGCTCGTTATTCGAGAGTTAAGGTTTGGATGGGCTGAATTCTTTTCTATATAAACAGGAACATTCATTTCTGTGTTTCGGAAAATAATTAATGTTAATTTTGCAAAACTTCCCATTGTCTACGTGGTCTATAGCTTTGGAAGCCATCTCTCTACTTTTTGCCGCTGTTCAAAAATCAAAATCTCACGAGTTTTTCCGTGTGTTCCTGTAAAACCCTGACGAGGAGGTGGTGTGTGATCCTGTTCCGAGAACAATGTTCTTGAGTCGTGTTCCTGCCGTTCGAGCGCGAGAACAAGAAACCCGTGTCAAGAACAGGCCGCCCGAACTGAACCATCGAGATTTTACTGTAGTTACTAGTTTCCAACTTTTACCTTGCCTTTTTTACCTTGACTCCCAATCGACTATGTACACAACTGCTGAAGTAGAGTCTGTTGAGTGCATTTCATAAGCAATAATTTCTCCTGGAGGACAGTTATATCCTATGTCGGTAAAAATTGATGAAAAACTGAAAATCTTTTATAAACTACGGGTGGCGCCATCTTAGTCTCTCAGATTTTTAACAATTGGTGGCGCTATTTAATAAAACGTTTTAAAGGGCGCCCTCAAACTTTGCATAAAAAGCGCCCTTAATCTTAAAGGACGCCCTCTTCAGTCACGGAATCGATGTCTGACTGGATGACGTTTCGAAGGGCGCCCTCAAGAAGCTGTTTCAAATTTGACCGTTAGTTTCAAAGGGCGCTCCCATAAATTTTCCTCTTTTTACCGACGCGACACTTATTCTTGAAGGGCGCCCTCACACAAGTGCTTGTCCAAAAAACTTGGACGTTTTGCCAAAATAGCGCCCTCGAATGGGAATCACCAGAAGTTCTTTTGCTTTTTGTAAGCACCGTCAAGATAGTTATTTTCCTGCCGCAAATGAGTTCAGTCGGTCTGACTTTAAAGAGAAATCTATTTTGTTAAAGAACTCATTTTTAAGGTGATAAAAAGAAGAAGAAAAAGCCTGGCCAGATAATTGTTTTCTTTGGAAAGGTCCTTTCATCAGGATAATTCAAATAACCATAAAAGAAATCGACACAAAGCACAATTTTTGCGAGCTGAATTATATATATTTCCATATCTTCACTCAGGAGGTAATCAATCGGGCATGTAAATCAACAAACTAATCACGAGGTAAATTACTGTGAAAAAAAATTAACCGCATATGTATCAAGAAATGCTTGTGAATTTCAGCAATATCAGTTGAAATGACTTCTATATTAATGGGGTGACGAATTGTGGTTTTGACACTTACAACTGCATGTGAGTTGGTTTAAGCCAACAATTAAGTACTGATTTAAAGAAAATCATGAGGAAGTGATGTTTGATGTGGATACAAGGGAATGAAGGGCTAAGAAATTTAATAAATGAATGTTCTAAATTTCATTGACCTTTTACTGTTACATTCAGACATGGCCTCTCCTCTCCAAAAAAGCCTGAAAAAGGGGAAACTAAAAAGCAACTCAGGGCTTTCATTTCTGGGTATTAAATGTTTTGATGCATATTCTTCTTTGCTCTTATTTTTGATAAAATACTCACACAGATTTCCTTGTAGAAATAAAAGTAAAAAGATGTCATCTTTCTGAAGGCTTTCGAACGTTTACTTGCAGCTTGAAATGGACCATAGTTCTCTTTGTTAGCCGAGGCTTTTTCTCAATTGCCACAATTAATACCAGTTGAGTGTTACTTGGAATCTTAACATTCATCTATTTGGTTTGGTTTTACACAACTAAAAATTAAAAAAAATCATTTCAATTTAATAACTATCAACTACTCTGTAAATACTCTGAAATTTTAACCCCTGATATTTTAATCAAGTATTCTCATGTTAGAATTATTCCTACCAGTTACCTGGCGGTAATGAGCCTCAATTTAAGGTCAAAGGTCAAGTTTACATGAGATCACTGCTGGCTCAATGAGAAGCACATTTTACAACTATGTAAATATTTATGTCACTGATGCCAATCTTACATGGTTTTTCACCAAGAGCTGAAAGACTAATTTTCAAGCCAGAAAACCTTATATGCACCTCTCATGTCTCGTTTTAAGTGACTTGAATAGAAAGAAAAGTAGAGCACGACAATCCATATCATATCACCAAGCAGAAGTCACAATCTGTGTGAACATTCTCCATTATAGTCTACAAAATTTACTGATTGTCTTGCCTTTGTATGTACATATGATGACTACTTAGCTCCTTTCATCTGCATTTTGAGTGTTTGACCGGCAAACATATCATATTCCAGCACACAATTCAACAATTTTTTTGGCTAAAAATGTGATATTCCACTGCTATGACATTCACATAAAAGTACTGTTGACTTTCCCTAATTGTGTGAAACACAATTATTGTAAAAGATTAAACCTCCAGGATGGATTTAGAGAATGAAAGAAAAAAGAGGTATTCAACATTTTCTCCAGGGAATATGATGGGACTGGCACAGGGAACAAATTCCACTTTAATTTCGTTTTTATAATTCATAGATCAGGGTGATTCAATAGAAGTCTTTGTGGGTTTTTCAGTAATTTCCAGTTTGTTAAAGTGGTTGAGGTGGGAAATGTGAGAGTCTCTGTTGGGCATTCATTCTCAGACCTCAGCTATCCTTCCCATAATCCTCTTCTTCCCATCCAATCTAAATCCACCTGAATGTGTAGTTTACAGTAAGACAACCAGGCATGATGTGCTATTGAAACACAATAAGAACATTGATTGGAACCTGAAATTCCCTACAGAGTTTGGGCTACTTGACAGTTACTGCACAACTGCAATACAGCACTACCTTAAGACTGTGTACATCATGGAGCTATCTGGGACTTTGCCTGGCATTCCAAATCTGTGAGAATCAAACACCCTACACGAGCATAGTGATGTCAGATACAGGACTATGCTATCCAGACAGAATTTGTTTACAGGAAACTGGATGTCGATATTCTGCTAACTAAAGATAATGTACAATTGGATGAGGCAATGTGTTGAGTTTCATAGGTCTTGTAATTGTACCCAGCACAGGTTAGTGGTGATGCCTCAAACCAAAATCCAATGCCTCCTGCGTAATGTGACAAGTCACTGACCTACATTTCAATGTTACTGCAGACTTCATAAAGCCAAGGTTGTTGAAAGTTTCCACGTCTGATCCTCACAAGTATTCCAAGCAAACTCTAGTGCCTATGTGCATCTCCACTCATTCCTGCTCTGATGTTGTATCAAGATAAAAATTTATCTGTCAGTGAATCACAGAAAACAGGATGAATTGTGTTCATAAATTCAAGAAACCTAAAAAGACCTGGTGCTCATCAAATGCTGTTTGAAATGTTTCCATCATACTATGCAAACAATCTCTCCAAAGATGAGTTCATTCGGGAGGAATTTGCCAAACTATTATGTCACTAGTAATAACATCATTGACGTGTATGTCACACATCCATCTCAAATAAACACCTGCTACCTCAGATAATTACATGACTCTGAATTTTCACGTGGTTTGAGAGATGTTTTTCAATTTCTGTTGATAAACAACTTGATACAATGCTGGATCCTGCTTTTGGAAAGACTGGAAAACAGTAATCTAAAACAGTTTGATTGTAAAAGTTTACCTTTTGTCTGTCGGGAGAGTGATACTGATTTCAAGCACGTCTTATTGTCACTTAATGGGTTAAAAATTATCTCATATGCTCGTTCTTATAGAGTTTTCCTTTATTAACTTATACTCTTATTATTTGGCCAAATTCCATTTTGTAAAGCTGCATGATGTACACATGGATACAACAGCCAACCATATGATACAAATACTTTAAAATGATTCATTAAAGAAAATTTGATTGTTGATTAAATCTAGAGTTTCTTTACATCAATACATGTTGATATGTACGGTATATTCTACAACCACAATAACAATTATAATTGACAATGGTTCTCAAGAACAATAATACTTAGTTACTGTTCTGTTTAAGATATATATATAGATCTATTTTATACATTTTTTAATAATTTATACAAAGATAATAAACAGAATTGTAATAATGTAACCAACGATGACTCAATTTACCAATATATACAGGCAATAAGAAGCGTTACTTGTTGACATAATGTCACAAAGTTAGTGTCACGGCCAACACAGCCAGTCACTGTCAGTGAGTATATTAAGTTCGCGTTTCAAAGGTTTTGATTTTGTTGTTTTAAGATGAATTCAACGAATGATTAACCCTTGACAAATAGCCACATCAATGCAGAAACACACAAAAACTTGCATTACTGAATCACCTCAATGGGTTAAAGTCAATATTAGTTAAGGTAATCATTCGGACCATAGCCATTCCAGTGAAGTGGTCATTTTTTCTAAGCCACATTTCAAAACTGAAGTTCAATGGTTACTACTGAATTGATAAGTTTGATTCTCAAGTTAGTCTCCTGAGATTCTTGCTCATCCAGTATGAATGCTCACATCCTTCTACAAACCTAAACTTGCTCCAAATTCATTTCTTGCAAAATGTCAGAACCCTGTTTTTTTTGTTTTGTTTTTTTGCATTAATGCAAGAGATGTCACCTCTCCAACTACCTGTTGTTTCATTGCATTGGTATACGTAACTTTCTGGAAGCGATTAATACACATTGACATACATGTACATCCAGACCTCTCTAACAGCAGTTTCATAAAGGATTCAGTATATGCAAGAATCCAAGCACAACAAACAAGCTTGGTAAGGAAAAATATTTGCTTAGCAAATACAGGTAACAATGCCTGTTACTTAATTCCTGTGCAGTTCAAGATAAGTTTGCTGACCCAAACTCTGCTTAGCAAGTTCATAGCCAGCAATCATAAACATCACCGTATGACAGGTACAGTAGCCCATGGCTGGTTTTCCAAACTTCATATTTTGCTAAGCTAAACTCTTTCCAGAAAATATTTCAAGCTCGTCTGAAACTGTGACATCAGCTGCTGGACATGCATGTACATGTATGCTTACTCCAAACACTTCCTACGAAAATGCTAGGAGTCATCTTACTCCCATTTAAAATGCTAAATTGTCAGTAAAGCTTAATACTGCTGAAAAACTGTTCAGTGCTGAAATGTAATGCTTTCACAACATCACTTTGTTTACATATCACAACATACAGATACGTGTATTATACATGAAAAAGCCAAGGTTCTCTGATCACAAGGCAACATTTTGAAGAACCAAAGCTATCAAATGAACTCCAACAAACATGACTGGGTGAAAATTCCTGAAAATCTTGCAACAGATTTTTTGAAAATGGAAATTTGGATAATGAACGATTCTTGGTAAAAGAGAGTATTTGAAATCCTGTGAAACAGGTTCGTATTTATCCATTCACAAATTGTGTCTTGAAACTGTCATAAACATGTATATCTTTGACTTCCAATTGCATCAAGTCAAAGAAATAGACGTGTCAACACTCAGAGACTGGGAAAAACATTACACTTAAAGTTCTCTGAGGAGCTGGTGCATTATGGGATATAGGCCTTGCAACAAATGAAGCTGCAGAATGCGGAAGTCTGAAGCAGATTGTATCTGCCGCTAAGCAGGACTAATGCTTTCAAGCTGTTTACAATCAAAATTATTTCACGGAAAATATTGGTTTCATCCTTTTTCTCTGGGACAGTTAAGTTGGATTCCATGTGTAATTTAACTAATTTACAGAGCATGACTTTCACAAGTTAGTTATTCCAAATACACCTATCTGTATTAAGTCTTGGTCATGACCTGGTATATACACTGACCAAAAGAAACTGGAAATGCTGACTAAAATGTGACCTCGTAACTTGCTACATTTTTGGCATGAAAACCCAATCAATGAATTTTAGATCAGAATGCTTCAATTCGTTATTTAAATGAATCTGTGAAATGAGACCATGAAAGTTTTACGATATGCTGGCAGCACACAACAGCGTTAGTATTAAATAAGTGAAAATTCCTTCGGTGATATTGCCTGTCTGTGTCAGCCATGTTTTGGCCAATGTCTCATATCTTCATCAGTCGACACAATGTGTAAAAGTGTCACATTTAAAAAATCGGTTAATTCATTCCGTTCGACAAGTCAATTTTTTGCGAGAAAGTTTTTCTTGTTCAGACTAATGTCTCCTGCCCGTCTTTGAGTTTCCACTTGCCTTGCCATTGTTTGTCATCCCTCTCTGGGCTAGTTGGACTGGTGCTAGCTGTCTCTAAGGGTAAGTCCATATCAAAATCTTCCTCCATAGCAGCAATGGGTACCTTGGCTATCCTTGGCTGTGGGGATTTAGGTGGACCCCGCCGCTGTAAACTAGGCGAGATTACACAGGGTCTAGTTGGCTTGATACAGTCTGACACACTCTGTGTTCGTCTGTTGTCCACTGGCAGCCATACCTGATCTGAGGCATCATCACCAAGTTTCCATGGTGAGGGTAGGAGATCTGAAGCATGCTTGCGTACCGTCCGTGGACTTTTAGACTGGTAGGATATCTCTAGGTTTGGTGATAGCGTTCCGCTGTCCATATTGGCAGGTGAGCTGAACTGTCTTTCAGGGGGGTGACCAACAAGTGGTGAGACAGGACCCCCTGATATACGGCGTGGGGAATGGGGAGATAGAGGTGAGAATATCTGCTTCTCATTGGAGATTCCTCGCACCAGTCTCGTGGGTGGGGTTATTGTGGACGTAGGGGAGGACTCCCCTCCCCACTGATTGCTCTCATCCTGGTTTTCGCTGCTGTGTCGCCCTCGCTTGGTCTTAGTACTGCGTTCCTGCTGACCACTCACAGAGCGATCTTCACAACCTGTCCTGGCAATCTTTGGACTGCTGGGAAATCGACTGTCAATGACCGGTGCAGCACGAGGCAGCGACAACGATTTCTGCTTGGACTGTTGCAGCATCTGTTCTCTGGTCACATGACCTAAGCTCTCGTCGGTGAAGTCCGATTTGTTGCGGCAGGCGTAGAGGTCATCTGGGGAACTGAAGAGACGATGTTCATGACCATGAAGAGCATGGAATGGCATGAGAATCTCCTCAGGAGTACAAGGAGGTGACGAGGAATGCGGCGAGTCAATATCCTCATTGAAAGTAGCCTCCATCTCAGCAGGATCAACGCAGCTGCAGATTACAACACAAAGTTAGAGTCATATATAATTCAGCAAAAAATTAAAATCTGCTTTCAACTCTCAGCGCTCATTTTGAAAGGTGCAAGTCATACTAAAACCAATTATCTATCAATGTATTTGGTGTCTTCCTTCCAGAGGGTGGAATCTCTTCACCTGGGTAGTTTCTAATGTGGGGCAACACAAAGTGGTCTAGATCCTAACACCTCTTGCTGTAATCCAGACAAGGATCAAACAGACAGTGTTCAGTGCCAATGCAGTGTAGAGCTTAGTGCATGAGAGATACAGCCTACTAATTCAAGCGAGATGTCGGGACAGCTCATTAGCATTAAAGTGTCCCTACAGCATCTTTTGAAAAAAGGAGATCATTTGGCCCCCAAGGTAGCGAGATTGTGTAAATCTTTGATCAACTCCCTGAGTCTCTGGGCTTTTATCTGAGAGCTGAATGGCTAAAAATATGGTTGAAAAATGGTCTTAAGTGCCTGAGAAAGTTGAGGGTTGCCACTTGAAAAATGGCTGCAATCAGACTTCGGAATAATCACTTTTTGGGGGGTGATTTTGTTTTGTGAGAATAACTAAAAATGTAATCAGTTAACCCACAAAAATTGAAAAGAAATGTTAAGATTAGGGACCAGACAAGAATTAAATTAGTGGTTCAGAAACCTCAGGGATGTTGGTAGGTATGTTATTGGGCCATGAACAGTGCTGATTTTACAATGTTTTCAATGGGGCTTGAATTAGTGGACTGTACCCAGAGCTACATGAGGGTAACACACCAATGAGAGTAACAATAAACTGGTCCCTAAATTAAATTCTAGACCTCAACAGTGGATGGGCAGGGCAGGGCAGGCCCCAATCTTAATTACAGGTGAATGTAGTACATGACTTGATAGGAATACAGCCCATGACTTCACCGGTGAGGCTCACTTGTTCATAAGGAAAGCCCATAAATGGTGTCCTGCATTGGTTTAAGACACAAAGTGCCTTTGGCTGACAATCTCCATTGTCTGACTGAGTTCTTACCCTAGTGCTACTGCTCTCTTGGTCAGGAGGTAGTCTAAAGCTTCAGGGTCTGTCTCATATGTGATCTTCAACACGCTATCTTGAATCTCAGCCGGTACCTTTGAGAGGAGAAAATAATATTCATAACAGGGACACAGTATTCAACCAACAGTATGAACAGCAGAAGCAATTTAACCGTTATCATCTAAGTACAAGTGCCAACTATACGACTGAATCTCCTAATTTAGATAACTTCATTTCCTCCTCTAATGCACTTTGTGTATAATCATTTGGAGTAGGGAATTACAGGCAGGCAGCTAAGTTCAATCAGAATGTATGACGCCCAGTTAAGCTCACTCCATCCATTCCCAACTCACAGGGCTCACCCACTGCAACCCACCTGAAAGATGGCTTCCATGTGTTCAGTCATGATCTGTACCACACTGATCACCTCTCTACTTTCCTCCACCTGTTCCGAGGCTTCTTGACCTCCGTGGGCATCCCTGTCCTGTCCCCCTTTAGTCTTCCGTAGAATGTTGGGACCAAAGAGGGTGGCAAGGTTATGAGTGTCCATCTTGTTTCCCTGTATCTGAGGCAAGAAAATGGCAATGGATACAGTAAGTTAAATTTCTGGCTTTCATAGATGAACAAAAACTCGTTGCACTGATGACTACATCAAGCAAACACAGTTTCAGAGATGGAATGTCATTTGGTATTATATTCCAAATTTTTCCTGTCACAGACTCACTTCATTTCCATCATCATCCACAGTATCGGCAGCATTCTTGGAGACCCTATTTAGAAATCCTAGCAGAGCATTCAAGGTGTCTCTATTGGCTGTAGGCAGCAGGTAGACTAAAAGCTGTAGTGCTCTCAACCTCTGCTCAAAATTCTCTAATCCTGAGGACACATTAAAAAAATGACAAATTAATACTCTACTAGATAGTCTTTATTGACCTCATACACGAAGGTCAACTAAAAATGATGAAAATCACATTTACTCATGCCTACGCTTGCAGGACGAATGACTTAAGAGGACAAAAATCAGGAGGAATTGCCTCAAACATCAATACAAGATGTACTTGTGTATGGGGAAGGGGCGTAGTCATACAGGTCGCCTCTAAGTCTAAGTATAGTAGAGTGGAAAAATTTGTTTCTTGAAATACACTCCTCCAATTTGGTAACACAAATCGTACTGACAAGAACACAAAATGAAGACTCACTTGTGCAGGCTACAAAAGCAGGGTAAAGTTCACGGGTCAAGAGAGGTTCTGGAAGGTCACGGAAAAACTCCTTCAATAGTGCTCCCACATCATGAGGATTGTGAGAATCATTCAAAATTATCTCATTACCAGCGTCGAAGTCCTCACGTAACTGCAGAGGAAACAAAACACAAAAAAACCACATTACTCTAATTTGCATTTTCACAACAGCAAAAACCAACAAAAGTCTAATCTAAACCTCCCCTCCCCCCAAAAAAACCAGAGGATAATCTTACAACTTGGATACTTAATGTCTGTAATTACAAGATAAACTCAATCAACATTCATCATTATCATCAACCTGGCATTGAAACTCCTCTCTCTTCTGGTCATTGTGGAAAGCAGATTTCCAAAGTGAGAGGAGTAACACATTGCACTGATTGGATGAAGAAGGGTGACAGACTAAACACTTATTCACCAGAAAACTGATAGTTGATCTGATAAACCAGAGCTAGACGACATTGGGGGCAAGACATTGATACTGGCAGGTATGAGTGACATCAAGAGTAACCTTCTCTAGTTGAGTCTAAGTATTTATCATGGGAAATTCTGTCTTGCAATCAGAAAGGGACAATGCAGAGAGCTTCAGATGCGACAGTCTCATATATGGAGTCTCAATCCAATCAATGATAAGTTGAGGGTTGTCACGCCACTTGCTGGTAAAGAATGACTACTTATCAACTGATTGCTGGACTCTATTCACTCACATGGCCATGTGCAGTTGTTTTTGGCATCCTAGAGTGGAGTCAAAGTGAGAATGGGCAGGATGAAGGGCTGGGCATTATAAGCACTCCAACAGGTACATCAACCTGCTGGCTCCTCTACCAAGTAACACAGAGTGGAAGAAAGCTGTTTGCTGCCAAGTACAGCATGTATCAAGTATCAATCATCACCATCTTCATCTCCCTCATCTCTGTAACCAACCAACTCAGTTAAGCTGTCAGGTCAATTGGTCACTTATTTAGATTTGTGTGGCATCTAATTTGCATACCGGTCTGATTCTTAGTGAATGACATTCCTGGAGCTAGGCCATGCCTTTTAATTATGTAATGGCATACTTGAGCCCAAGAGGGTGTGTTGCCTTATAATACCAACTCACGGTTGTGGGGTTCATTCCTGCACCAACCACCATGGCATGAAGACCTTTTTTAAGTCATTTCGTTTTTGTTCCTGAATGTTCCGTGTCGTTGGGGGTTATAGTTATGCCCCATGGGTCGTCTTGTCGTCTGTTGCAACTCGTCTCTGGATTTTCTGGCTTTTCTTTATGATGCTTTGGTGAGTCCAAAATCATTAATTCTAATTAATTATAGCTGTTGTTTAATGTTAAAATGTTGTTGTAGTGTGATTATGTATATTGCTTCTTATGTCGGGGATGGTTAGTTTATAAATTTATTTGTTACAGCCAACCTCTGACTAGTTCCATGCTCGAAACTTGATCCGGGATCGACGTTGAGTCGTCACACAGAACACCTGAAGGTATGGGTTGGAAAGTTTAATTGCTAATATTTTCATTGTATAAATTGTGATTGTGAGGTGTTCATGAGTTGTTTTTTCAATGTGCAACTTTTAGTATGAATTTGCTAGGTCACTCTATACTTGACATTTCATAGTTATTTGAAACATTCCCATTTTTTCCTGAAAAATCTGGGTCTATTTTATTTGACAGGTGTTCTTCTTGCCCCATATTTTTGGTAGCTTTGTATTTCTGACCAACAATTCATAAATTGACTTTAGATTATAGGTTCGTTCTATTGGAAGCTTTACTCGAAACTAGAGCAAGTTCCAAAACACCTGCCGTGTTAGGATACAATTGTGACTCTTGCAATTTTCTTTAGAATGAGGTTTGAGACACATAAACTGAATTCTGATGTGATAAAGAATTCTTATTCATTAAACCTCCGATTCAAACAATCCCTTTTGAGTTAGTCTTTGCGAATGATTGTTTTGTTTGTGACACAACCGTGTTTAGCAGTACTACCACGGGATACTCCTACTCCCTCCTGCTTGCACTCCTTCCTTACATCTCCATCCATCCATCTAATGGATTATTTCCCAAATTCCCCTTCACACCAGGTTGCTCAGATCACCTGTTCCTCCAGTCCGTCCCCACCAAATTCAGTTGAGGCCATTCAGATCCAACAAGCACCCTTACAGGAATCACATGATCAAAACGGTCAAATTTGAAACTGAACAAGTTACGGTGAACAGGTCCACTAGGAATACTCATTCTATCTGCAAAACTTGTAATTACAGTTCAGAGGCATGAGTAACAACATGCAACATTAAGATTTTATGCATTTACTTCCTTAGTATCTTTCATTTTTAAATCTTTCAGTTTACAGATTCTGTAAAGGGAAAGAAAACAAATTTCTTAAATGTGCATGTGGGTTGATAGTCTGCAAAAGTAGCCGAAAGGATAGCTATCTAAGTGCACACCCGTTCTGTTTATAATGGGGGGGAAGCTCAGTATAATGATTAAACTTCAATACCACAACTGCCCCAGCTGCTTCTGTCAACAGTGAAGGATCTCCTTGACTTCTTTTATCTCAAGGTAACATCTTTTTTTTTTTACCTTATCAGTAATACTGGTGTTTGAGCGGTCAGATACCCTATAACAAGGTATAATAATTCACAGACCCAGGCAAACAGTACGATTAGCAATTCATAAATTATGGTCTAGCGATCCGGTGTAGCGATCAAATATCATGTGAAGTGTGGCCGTACGATAACAACTCCTCAGGCGAGGAAGAGATCACCTTTATTTCCCGGTCAGAAAAAGCCCTATCGGTACCTGTCCTTATCCAAACAAGGTGGAAATCAAGCTAGGAATTCAGAGAGAAGCAAATTCTATCACCGTCATGAAACACGGTGACTTGTGAGTGGTAAAATATGAAATTCCAAAGGACCTCAGTGCCAAGAAATACAATTGCTGTCTCCTCGTGAAAAACAAGTTGATTGCAAACCTGTCATGACTCACATCAACCATCAGTGGCTTCAGTGCTCTGAATTACCACTCCCAATCCAACTAAATTGGCTCCTTATCAAAAGCGAGAATCAATCAATATATTTGCATATTGATCCAGTAGCATGTATTAGGATTAAATATTGATGCTGTACTTAGGGCTAATGGATGATTTAGAGATGTACCTCACTGGCCATGTAAATACTTGGTCTCGTTTCCTCATGGCATTCTGAGCAACAAATAAAGGACAAAAACATAGGAAAAGACGCATTTTAAAAAATGCTACTTTTGTTTTAACGGTCAATTGGGAATTATTTTTAAATGCTGAAGGTACTAACGCATACGGTATCACACGGCATCAAAGAAGGATTTTGGAAATTTCAAACGAATCTTTTGAGAGAAACAAAATTACGGGTGACAAACTAGTATCTGTATAATTGATTTTTGTTTGGTTTTGCTTGCCACCCACCAAGTCCCCCACGAAGCAAAGAGAAAAACTCCACATGAGAAGTGACAGCAGAAACAAACTGCAACTCTGAATGGAATGTGTGCATTCACAAGTACTTGAGAGTGCAGAGAGGTCTATAGGAACGGCAGGTGAAATTCTCAGAGGACCATCTTCACTGAGACAAACACACTAAAATCACATCAGCGTGGTGTGCAAATGACGGTATACTGATCCTTGCATTATCAGGAGAATTACGACTGTATTACATCCTGAGACTCCGAGCATCGGCCATCCATTTTTGTCTCAAGTACCATACTGAGGTGACATTTTTGCTTGTACAAGAGGGATGAACCACAAGTGTTGCCTTTTAACAACCACATCATCATGCTTGAGCACTTCAAGAGGACTACATATGGAATAAATAGCAGCGAATATTGTTTAAGTCGTCACCAGAGAATTGGAAAAGTTTTTTTTATCAAGTTAAAAACCTGACATTAAACGGATAAAATCCAAAACTTCTCCCTTTTAGACTCCAAGGTTCACTTATTTTCTCAACGAGATAAACAGAAACAATGAGGGTAAGCATGAAGCGGTGCACACTGATTGTAATCGGAGTGCTTAATGGTGTCATCATATTTTTCAACTATCGTGCCATGAGTGAAGAATCTCGACAGAGGTCAACAGATTTCATCCGCAGCAAGTTTGACTTTGTGAAGAAATATGTGCATCCCCAGGACCGAGACAACAATAATTATGCCAAGGATGAGCAGAAACGCAAACAGCCACTGGTATGGAATGATATTCAAGGCATCCACAAGGCATTACCAGCTTATGGGAAGATGAGGAGAGTCCTGTCCAACCTCCACGATTACAAGCGCTATTTCTATCGCGAGTCGGTGTACTTTAACATTAATGGTGAAATGCTGCAGTATAAGTCGGTTCCACATGTTGGTGACAGTTACCACCTGAGGGCATTATTTGCTGACGTACTGCAGACAAATCGAAGCCTAAGAATTGGGGTGATTGGGGGTGCTCTGTCTTATCATAACGTCTGTCTGCAGAAGTCTTGTCTTTACATCGACATTGTTGCAAACTGGTTGATGAAGATACTTGACACCGAGGTCACAGTTCACAATGCCGCCATAGGTACAACAAACAGTGACTATTTTGCCTGGTGTCTCCAACCTCATTTAGACGTAGAGAACATGGATATCATCATATGGGAACTAGCTACTGAGGATTACGTCAACCGTGATGTATACTTCAAGCACGGACTAACAAATGCCGCTTGGCCACAGGAAGAAATTACTCGTAGAATCCTAGCTCTCCCAAACAAACCATACCTCATGTATTTCAATTTCTTGTCGACAGCCAACATTCGGCAACGAGAGTGTGTCAATTCTGAGTATTTCGCCGGTCGTCATCTGGCTAAGCATTACAATGTGACTTCCATTAGCTGGTGCAACGCAATTTGTACCAAACTCTGGAAACCCGGCTTCACCCCAGATGACCTGATCTTTGCTGATAACCTGTTGAGTAAAAGGGCCCACCACCAGGGGGCGCTGTTCATCATTCACTATTTCCGCAACATCCTGGAGGAGGTGACAGAGAACTTTCTAAATCAGACACAATATAACAAAAGATACATCAAGCATCTCATTGCACTGCATGATGACTTTGTTCAGAACACCTACGGATTGGGTTCTCAACCTATCAAGACTATCAAGTCCAAAACTCATTCTAACAACATCACAGCTAAGTTTTCTCACGTGCAACTAAAGGACCCTCAATGCTGGCCGATATCTAAGCCTCAATTTGAAAGTAATCACAGTCTGGAAATCACAATGAATGAAGGTTGGGAGATTGGCTACTCATACAATGACAACTGGTACTTGAGCACTGAACCCAACCAACGCATCACCTTCAAAATAAGCATTCCTCCAAATTGGAAGAATCTCAACGCAACAATTGCCATCGCCCTTGTTACTTGTAATTACTGTGGACAAGCCCTGGTCTGGCTAAATGACCTATTTGGAGGTGCCAAACTTGTCAGTGGAAATGACAAGATACATCAGTTTGCTGTGCGTGAGATTTTCACCAATGTTCCCCCTGCTAGCTACTCAGTGACCATTAAGAGCATGGAAGAACGACCAGTCAAGATTGGTGCTGTCATGACATCTTACGAAGAGCCCAGAAACAGGACCCTGCTGATCAAAAGAAACAGTGAACAGTTTGGAGGGCCAAGAATGTGGAATAAACTCAAAGGACCAGCACTGTAATTTATGTGGAGTTTAGGACAAAAGAATTGTCTTGACCATTTAGCGTCCTAAAATGACGTTGAGCGTCATTTCCTAAATCAAGATTTTACAGAGTTCTAAATACCTAAATCAGAAACAATACAAACGAGGTACAACACCTGAAATGTAGAAAAAATTTTTGTCTCACAGATAAGATACTCCAAATAAAACTCTGACAAAAGAAGCGTCAAAGATACACAAAATGAAACTATAAATAAGAAACTGACCAAAAATATTCAATTTGAATAAAATATTAGGGAATTGATTGCAAAGATATCAAACTTGCCAACAATTCATTAAAACTATCTTTCTTAAATTTTACCTTTGTTCTGTCCCATCAAGCATTGTCAAACGTCTCTTTCTCATCTATGTACCAGTACTTTGTACAGTAATCATGCTTCCCACCATGAGAAGGACATTCATGCAGACTTCTTGCCGTCTGCTGTCAATTTGTGTTAAAGCTTGACAAATTCAAACGGACAAGATGTGCTGAATATGTTGGAAACTGAGACTGTGCCATGCTTCTTGTCATTTATGTGAATTCTTCAACTGAAAGTAATTTGTCAGATACTAATGTGATAGAGGCGTCTACTAGGAGAGAAAGTAGTTGTGATGGCGCCTGAATCTGGTATTTTTATCTTTGGCTTCTGATTTTTTTTGTACCTTTGATAAAAGTGAAAATCTGGAACAAGAGAAAAAAAACCGCACTGAATTTGAACACAGCGTGACCCAGATACATGGCCTGCTGTAGGTTCTTATGGTAATAAGTGGGTCATAATGATATCCATGGATGACACTCCATCCTACATACATGTAGGCCTACACAACCAACACCCGCCTTAGCACTGAAAAGAAAACCTCAACTCCCAAAAATTATAAGGCAACCCAAACCTAGGGGGACAGTTATGGTGTTTTATACTTGTTTTTACATGTGTATGCTTAAACATATTATCTTTACACATATATATAACTTGGAACAGTCCAGTCCAAACCATGGTCGTAATCAGTTAGGTCAAGCCAGATGTTGGATAAGACCTCTATAATGTGAATGTTTCAAACTCAGATGAGTTACTGATCTGGCCTAACCACTTCCTGCCGGGCCCATTAATCCACTTTGATTCTGCTGGGCCAGGTGATTTTTCATTTTTTTCTGTTTTCAAAATTCTTTAAAAATTCATAACTTCATTTGCTAGATGTTTTTTACCCACACGAATGACTCTCTGGTGGCTACTCTAATCTGACAGACAACATCTATTGATGCCCGAGTATTTCAGCCAGGCCTGCCACCTTGTGAAAAGAGCCCAGATTGTGCGGTGTTATGTAATTTTCGTTTGTTCCTGAAACCGGCACAGTGCGCAGCTGACGTCTTTTCAATGGGGCCAGATTAGCGCACGGCAGTATAGTATCGCTCATCACTGGAGAGCTGGAGTGCTTTTGTCCCCGGTGGTAATCCACTAATGCTAAATGCCACAAACAAGTCGTATACTGATTTCCACCGCTATTGACGACTGAAAAAATGAAGGCAATTGCCAGCAGCTCGGTCTTTTGTTCTGAGTCCGGCTTTTGTTACAAGGCCCAGCTCTTTTGTCCGATTTCAGGCTCCTTGACTGTACCCAAAACCGGGCTCCCCGGCAGCATATGGTTAAGGTCATATGTCCATGAGGTCACTCATCCAACATACACTGCAGCATCAATGTCCAGTCTGGTACCTCAGACAATCTTACCTGTCTAGTTCGTTTCTTGGAGCCACCCACTCTGAAAATGCCCAAAATATGCAGGGCTCTTTTTTCTAGATGACCGAAGCAAGCCTGGACCACTTGAGGTACTTTGGGTTCTTGAGGGAGTAAGCTGTTACGTCTCTCTCTGCGCTGGACATCCACCTCGGTGCTTGTGGAGAGAGACAGGGCATCAAGGAGGGAGGTAGACGTGGAGGAAGTTGAGCCAGAGGAAGATTGTGCTAAACTTGGGATGTCCTCAACTGAACCCTAGGATAGCAAACAATAACAATTCTATTCAAATGGAAACAACTGAACATGATGTTTGTTTTTCTCTAACAAATTCCCTCAATGTGGACAATATCACATTCGATAAATAAGACGAGACGCCATCTGTTGGAAAAACAAATGGTTAGAACTTGGATCCCTGCTTTGTTGGCACACATGTAAGCTGACCATAATGCATTTATGCTTCAAACATCTAACATCTGCAACATGAACATGGGCAATGTCACAAAAAGTGTCTTAAACAGAGATTAAACATTCAAAACATTGTCATGACTCTCACTTTATGAAGAAAAGGTGAAAAAATAAGCAACATCAATCACATATCCCATATCAGATGTTTTGTAAGTGTGGGCGGAATCCTTTCAGAAAACAAGAAATAGCCTTGAAACCTTGAAGAAAATGTTGAACAAAAAACTTCAAATTGCTTCTGAGTTTGATAAAAGCATCACAAGAGTCTAATATTAGACTACTCAACATGGACATTGAATCGGTATTTTCAGCGTTTTATGTCAACAGACTTTGTTTTTTCAACCTTTAAACATTTTGGGGAAATCAAGGAAGTTATATCACAATTGCAGTGGTGCCTCTTTCAAGCGCACATGACGCACACATTCACAAAATTGCCACTGAAGCCAGTCTGTCACAATTCACGCTATCTGTACACAGATCAAACAAAGGCAATGAACTGGCATTTTTACAAATTATATTTGTCACTCATTGGTGCTAAAATTACATAAAGCTAATTCGTACTGCAATAACAAAACCTCGCATCTAAAGTACTTCCCTCGTGACTATTTTGTTCGTCTGCTGTCAGACTGAAATATCTCCAATTAGTTGCGAATGAATCCTGCAATTTTACACTGTACCGATGTTGACCAACGTTCCATTGTGTTTAAACAAATTGAAAATATAACCTGTGAGAAAACGACAGGAAGTAATAAAGATATCTGAATTCAATCAAGGTGAGCTGAAGGTCACAGCCAATCTGCTCAGGGAAATTGTAGGAGAGTAAAAAAAAGAGAAATACTGAATGAAACTAAGCATGAATGATCTGGCAGTCAGGTATCTTTCCGATTCATGATTAATTGCGGTTTTCTTGAACACATTTCCCCTGTACATGACGTCAGATGCTACGTCTGCTGTCTCGCTCCGTGACGTCAAAAATTCCTCACGCATGTTCAAGTGTCTCAGGGACATCAATCACAAACAGCACTGGTGCCCTGCAGATATGCTAAGATGTTAGTTAGACAGACGGGTTAGGCTACCGACTCTCATGGCTGCATGGTCCAGTCCTGGAGCCATTCATTGTCACTCTGCTTAATTTAACCCCTGATAGGGTTCACCAAATGAACCCATGCCATCCAATTAACTTGGGCAGTTTCCTGCAACTACTTTGACTGAAAGAATGGGAAATTTCTTGATAGATTTTCGCTCCATGAGCAGGCAGGGTCAAGGTTACATGAGATCTTATTCTCAAACAGCAGCCCAGCCATGCACTGCAGTATGCTATGAACTATGCTTTGGCCTTGCACATATATAAATAATGAAGTACCCATCCATTACTTGCTCTTTACATGTCATCAGTTGTTTGGGGGATTGGTTTCCTAATCCATTTTTTCAGTTACTTGTAACACTTTGAATTATTCTCATGGCACTGACTGTATAGTGTACTTTGACAACCACAAATAGAAGCCATTACTGTGGAGGCACAACACTCATGGATAGGTGGTACCTGGCATGCGCCAGTTACCAGCCAATGTGACCACGATGTGTCCAACAGGGTGCCATGATTTGCCAAATGCATGCTCGTCTGAAATCGAAGAACGCGCACGTGAGTACAGTGCCACGGCAGTTACGGCATTTCCACAGATTTGTCTTCAATATCATCGTTCTCACTTGAAAATGGCTCATTATAGGCTTGTCTGAAATTTGTCAAATCTTGACTGTTTGGAATTATTCTGTGAACCAGCTAAATCATGACAGGCGGAGTACCAGCTGGAGAGACAAGGCATGATTACAGTGACTAATGGAACATTTCCAGTGACTGCAATTATATACACTCGTTTGTGCAACATTAATCCATACTGAGTCTACAAGACACAGCTAGGCATCTCGAGGCAAGAGAAATTGTAATCAAGACACTAAATGGGCCAAATTTCATGGCTACGCCACTGTTGAGCAAAACTTCTAGCCGCAGTGTTTAGCAACTTGACAAACACCAAGCAAAAAATTAGTTGACAATCAGTAACACGCAATAAGGCCTCGTATTAACAAGTAAACTTGACTATATATACACTAAGTAATGCTCTGCTTCATGAATCTTTGAAATTGACTCTCAAGCTTTTATACAACTCATTTTTGCTTGTCAGAAAAATGCACTTACATGTAGGAACTTTGTGTGCAGTGCACCCATCATTCTATGCATACAAGGCTCCAAGCCTCCCATGATTACATTGTTAGTGAAATCCAAATTAATTTGACCATCGAGAATTCATGAGTATCTACAAGTTGACATTAATTGAGTGATTTATCTCCAAATGTATTGTTTAATCATTTTTTTGAAAAAGTTTTATGCAAAATACTTCATTGGACTCGGAGGTAAAGGACAACTACACTTTTACAGTCAACTTGTCCAATTCCCCAACAAACAAAAAGTAACCGGAATTTATAAACAATTCAGACAGAATTAAAAACACTTTTAAGTCTAGAATCTCGGATGTTGAAAAACTATGGGAATGTAAGGGCCACATGAATATAAAATAACAGATAACTTAATGGTGAATATGATTATAGTACACCGAATAAAGACTTGATGTGGAAAACGTGCTCTGGCTTGCATGTAATTGATCATGTCTATGTGAATATAACGGAACTTGCATTCCATTATCCTGAAAATGGAGACTCTTACAATAAACCTTGCTCTTAATTAAAGTTGATCTGTGTTGTAATGAATGATTAATGTTGTTCATTTACTAGTAAGAGGCCAAAATTATTGTAAGACAGACCATGAAGTTGTGTCCGCTACATGTACACTGTACGTGCTTCTGTCACGTAAGTCGTGGTAGGTAACCCAACTATTTCTAGAGTGACTCTAATAAAAAGGTGGACCACAGTTCATCTGGGTAACACACGTGGTTGATTGATGTCAAGTTGACCATGTGAATAATCGTGAGCAAGATGAGCCTCGCCAAGCAACCATGACCAGATAATTGGATGAGCATGGCATAAATGTTTACATGATTTTCTTTTTAGTGCCGTGTTTGTTTGTGAAAACCTGAGTTTTTGTACATCATCATGTTTGGTGCACACACAGACGCAACATGTAAACATAATGGACAACATTAAATGTATGTACTATGAAGGAGAAATCTGTCCCTGTGAAAGACCATCCAATTAGTATAAATACATCAGGGATAAATTTTCCCCTTGCCAACTACAGTAGTCAAACCAAATCCTCATGTTGCAAGATAAAATTAACAAGTAACTGTTTCACCAGCAATAAGCATGAACTCAAGACAAAGCTGGCATTATTTGTGATTTCAAACAAAGCCTTTTGTTCCCTTGGCAAGACCACACAACCATCTTTGCTTATTGGCACTCTGAATGTTTGTCTTTCCTCCCACAAAGTTTGCCTGAGGTCAAGAGCATCTCCCTCATAAATTGAAGTTTTATGGCTCTCTGAATGGCTTGGATGTTCAATATCAACACTTTCTGCCCATTCATCATTCAAACCTTTTTTTTGCAGGGGAGAAAAACTTATAGTTTCTGTATGTCTATCTCTTGAGGCTGTGGAATAAAATGGCCGAGATACAGTCTTGAAAAATCTAGAGGAAAGGTGTAATGCATATGTGTGTGTTGACTGACAAGCGTGAATGGTGGACAGTGGAAAGAAAAGACCCAGAAATACAAGAAAAAATGATTATCTGGTTATTGCTGTAAAAATTGAGCATTTAAACATTGCAAGAGTGGGTAGGCCTTGGCCTTAAAAGTTGACAGTTGAATTCCAGGTTAGCCAAGCCCAACAAACATGTTTTTATTACTTAGTGGCCTTACAGTGAGGACTGGCCAGCGGAAGTCATGAGGAATTGTATTTATTTGGAGATTACTTTTTACGTTTCCTGGAGTCTGGCATGACTCCTCGCTATAAATATGACTGGCTTTGGAATGTCCTAATGTACACTGCATCGGTCAGTGTGTCATCATTCCTGCTAAGAAATCACTGGGTAAGCTACACAAACTATTCAGGTTGACTCTGGACAAGTCCCAGTTTGTTTAGTTTTATGGAGCAGAGGACAGGATGTGGCATAGTTGTGTGAAGCTCTTTACTTGGGGGTGTTGCATTCACATCAAAACAAATAAAGAAGGAGATCATTACAAATTACTATCTGCAAAATCCTACTAAAGAGTAATGCAACTTCATCTATTGTTCTTTTTTCAAATTTGGAAGAATGAGGGCTCAGATGCTATCAACTCATGCACTCAAATTTATTAAAGTTCCCCCTCGTCATACGAGTCTGGATAAAGGTTCTGTTAAGAATATCTACAACTTTTACCTTCGCTTCTGTAAAAAAACCAGGGTTTTTTGGTCGTTATCTTTTATATCCATGAAATGTCTGTTTACTCTTGATGTTGAAGCTGACAGAAGTATGATGAAAAACTTTGTCACTTCTGCTACACTGATGTAGCTGTTCATCCTTCAATGACTAACGAGGCACAGCTTAAGGGAACTGCAGATTACTGCAAGCATTGACTCCCTCCCAAGAAAGCAGTCATTCCTAGTGGTCTTTTACAATTTCGGGTATCGCTGAGGGACGTATGAGCTGTCTGTGGCAAAGTCAGAAGAACAAAGCACTTTCGTGTCTCTAGAAAATTACTATCATCACAAGATTGGGTTTTCAGAAACTACTTTTGATTTCTAGAGCATGGACACTGCTGTAAATTCATTACTTTTCACCTGGAGGGTGGAGAGTTTAGCTTTAGGGCGAAAAAATATGCTTGACACCATCTCAACTGGATTTGAGCAGCTTGACTGAAATTATGCACAGATTTAACCTATAACAGAGGAGGGTTGCTTGCTAAACCACCAAAATTATTTCATAATGCAAAGAATCAAGTAGGTATTCCTCAATAAACTGAGCTGAAACTGGGTGGGACTACTGTTCAGATTTCTGGACACACAATGGACGCTAAACGAAATGTTGCTACTGTCAGCATTAATTTCATTATTGCCTGTCTGTATTGACGGATGGATACATGATGCCATTGAGTGTCCACAAAAGGTATACAGATATTGCCTCGCAACCTACAGCTCAGTCTATCACTGTAGCAACCGTACCTTGACTTGTTTTCCTTGTTGCCTAGCCAGCAACGGTGACTGCGCCAGGTCTAGACTCTCCCGTCTCTCTTTCCGTCTTGTTGAGTGATAACGTCTTAGAGCTTTTTCATTGCCGATGCACTTCTCTAATGGGATGCCAAAGACTAACGGAGTAGATGACTCTAAGACATGAAACAGAGAGACTGCATATCATGGGCACTGTCTATACCATCACCCTTATGTGATCAAAATACAATATTTCCTTTCAAGAGAGGGCCTGACCAAACCAAGCACCTAGTTCATATGACCATTGTGATCACATGATTTACCATTAATACTGGATGTTTGTTCTTCATCTGAAGAAGTTTAAAGCATTATATGGAAACAGTGAACAGCCAAGGGCAATTTCAGGCATAAGTGGGACTTTGTCATCCATTACCGACCTCACTATTATTCATGATTCATAAATGAAAAGAAGTTTTTTTAAAAAATGAAAATCGAAATAAAAAGGTTTATTTCCACTTTTGCTTGGAAACAACTTGTTCCCATACAAGTAATAATGAGCTGGAAAATGTAACAACAAATTTCCACTTTTAACGTGTAATCACCCCAAACTAAAAGCAAACACAAATTGTAGAAAACAAAACCCACATACTATCAGGGCTAGCTACATCATCTGGAATGTCTGGAAACAGAATATTTCACGAGTACCAACCACCGAAACCAACTTCACTTTTATAATTTTTTCCCCGTCTTGTTGAGTGATAACGTCTCTGAGCTTTTTCACTGCTGATGCACTTCTCTAATGGAATGCCAAAGACTAATGGGATAGATGACTCTGAGACATGAAACAGAGAGACTGCATATCATGGGCACTGTCTCTACCATTCCCTCATGAGGTTAAAATACAATAATTCCTTTCAAGAGAGGGCATGGCACCACCAAGCACCAGAGGTGGCAGCAAGTCAATTTTTGCAAATCTAAGCCAAGTCATTTGGTCCAGTTACAAGTCATTTGACCACAGGTCAAGTCAAGTCACAAGTCAATTAGATCCAAGCACAAGCAAGTCACAAGTCTTTTTGTCCAAGCACAAGTCATTTGATCACAGGTCAAGTCAAGTCAAGTCACAAGTCAATTACGTCCAAGCACAAGTCAAGTCACAAGTCTTTTTGTCCAAGTACAAGTCAAGTTGCGCTGTGTGTGATTTCAAGCCACAGCCTGGTCTTGGTTCCAAGACCTTCCACAGTTATTTCGCGATCCGCGACCCGAACCACACAGATAGGTTTTGGATATTTTGTTTGACCAGGGACAACAACAGACTATGGTAATAATGGTAGGATATGCATTATTCATATCACTTATGCAAATAAGTTATGCAAATAAACTTCAACCTGTCAATATGCATCACATTCACAAATGATGTTTTCAAACTGAAACATCAGCCAACATAATGTTTCACATTTCTTTTAAGATACTTTGCATTAACATTATCCATAATACTAATAATAAAGCACTTATAAGGCGCACTTATTCTGTAAACATTCAGACACGCCAATCTAAGGTGGAAAACAAAACTCAATTTTGTGTTAACGATGAAACAGCTAATGAGAAACAGAATGTTTTGAGATGCTGCTGAAAATGTTTGATGTCATGTTCCTGTCTTCAATGATCAGGGAGCGAGTTCCAGGTACATAAGCGAGGTGTAATGCTAGAAAAAGCTCTGTCTCCATAACTGGCCAGCCAGTTGTCAATCTATGGTCTGAGGCAGTAGCCAGGAACTTGTGATGCGTGCAGATAACCGAACTGTTTGAGCCGTGTTCAATTTTTGCCATGTCGCACATTATCGCCGGCACATGGTATACGGTCGTGATCATGAATGATGTCTCCGCTCACTTTAATTGGGCCCATGTCTCCCCCAAACTGGAAATTTAAAGGATGAATGCTCAACAAGTATCTAAAATCAGGGTAGTTGTTATGGACAGAATTCCATATATGGACAACACTTGATGCCCGTATGCATAAACAATGAGACTTGTCTGAAAAAAGTGTTTTCTAAGTAAAATGTTTGGGAAGTATCTTTGCTTAATTTCACTTTTAGAACATGTTATCACTTTCTGATGGCTGTTATAACATTTTAAAGGAAAAGAAATATTGTCTGTACCTGTATATGGAACTCTTTCAGTTGTTATAAAAATAATTCATTAGCGTGTCTTAAAGACATGTTACAACCACCTAAACGAGGCCATTTTATGTGGAAATTTTTGGCCTTCGAGATCAGGACGCCATTTTTGTTTTCAATTCCAGGCTGAATGACATCATGAACTGATATGAATAATTCAATAAAAGGCTCAAACGAAGCCCAAGTCAAGTCGCAAGTCATTTTTTGCAAGTCCAAGTCAACTAACAAGTCAAAAACTGATAGTTACAAGTCAAGTCATGAGTCACAAAAATAGCGACTCCAGTCCAACTCGTTTCCAAGTCAAGTGACTCAAGTTTACAACTCTGCCAAGCACCTATTTCATATTAAGATCACATGATTTACCATTAATACTGGATGTTTGTTCTTCATCTTGAGAAGTTTAAAGTTTAAAGCATTATATACAAACAGCGAACAACCACGGGCAATTCTAGGCGGAAAAGGACTTTGTCATCTATTACCAGCCTCATTATTATTTATGATTCATAAATGAAAGGAAGTTTTTAAAAAATGAAAATGGAAGCAAAAAGGGGATGCCACCCAGTTTCATTCCCACTTTCACTTTTAAACAACTTGTTCCCGTACAACTAGTACAGCTGGAAAATGTAACAACAAATTTCCACTTTAGCATGTAATTACCCCACACTAAAAGCAACCACAAACCAAGCTCCTGTGCACACTGGCGGTGGAATGAGTTTCAAAGTGGGAGGAGGGGGCCAATTGTCAGACCATCAGGCATCAGCCATTAATAGGTTGATCCATTATGCCCTTCTGAGCTATAGGACCTGCAAAAAGTGGGAGGCCACTGGTCCCCTGCCCCCCCCGTCCGCTGCCAGTGCCTGTGCATGTTCTGCGACTGAGTTGGATTTACAAAAATCCACTTTGGTAATGTGAGTTACCTTTTCCTTCTTTACCAAGGTCCTTCAAGCTATCCAGTACACTGTTATTCCTATGTCGTCCTCTTAGGAAACTCCCTTTCTTTGGCCGTTTGGTGAGTGGATCTGTTAAAGAGACAAGACAAAGATTTATCATTTATCAGGTGTTACATCTAAACTGAAAACAGAGACACTGAGATCTGTCTCCATCCACTATGCTAAAACCTGGGAACAAAAAACATCATGTACTAATATCAAACAACATTGCTTTGAAAATTTGTCCAAAAATTGTGAAACCTGTGAGGGTCCAAGGGTTTACAAAATATAACAAATCCTACAAATCATGACTATGCCAAAAATAAAGTAGAACAGAAGAGAAACAGATTTGATAAGAAATAATGGAGTGAAGCCATCAGGGCTTCGGTCAAAAAGCAAAGAACATGGGTTTATATTCTTGGCCTTAAAGATAAATCCTGCCATTAACCCATGCTGGGGTTTGGAGAGATGAAATGTTGCTTTCTCTTCACAGGTTTAACGCTGGTTGTCACAGTCAACAAAAGAATGCTATCTTCCAAGCTACAATGAGAATGATCAAGACAAGAAGTCTTACAACATGTATTCCTACAGCTGACCAGTAAATTGATTTCCACGTCGGTACATCTATTGCAGTATTGCATATTTATTCCGCAGATTTGAATCTTTACACTTCATTCCAAAGTGAGCATTGGACCAAAACCTTGGGGTGACCAACAACTTGTTAGTGAATAGCATAAAGTGACTGCAATAGGAATTGATATATCACACCCACCATAAGCCAAAATATTGTTTGTCATTTTGAGTTGCAACACATGTTTTTAAATATACACAAACTCAACAGTGTTCTAAAGATCATAGTGAATAATGTGTGAACAGTGTTATAAACTGTAACAAATTGATGTGAATGTGAAATATTCAAATATACATGTAGCAGTAAATTCCCTCTACCAGGGCTGCAGAGATACATCATGAAGTAGACGCTGAGTTGGTGGTCATTTTGTCCCCAAGAACTGCAGCTGTTCTGGAGGGAAAGTTAGAATAATTTCTGAATATCATGACATAAAAGATGTGTCAAGTTCATTCCCAGAGGCTAGTTGTGATGTTGCTAGTGTATACAATGGACTCCTGACCACTCAAAGTAGTGACTGATATTGACCCTGTAGGCTGAATGAAAGATATATGGAGATATAGGCTAGGCAATACACAGCAAAAGGGAATATGTGTCAGTGACCGGAACACTAGAGTATACAGTATACATGTATTTACATGTAGGTCTGCGTTTCAACTCTCAAATATCACCGTGTGTGCTTTACAGCAACTATCTGGAGGCAACTCTCACAACAAGCTCCAATTAAGTATGTAAGTTGCAAGCCTTCTTAACAAATGTTTTTGATATGTGCTTTACAGTAAAAAATCCTAATGTTGGAATCACTTCAAGGAGGGTGTACATGTGGAGTAAAAGACTCAAAACACAAGCGATGTTCTGAATCTTGCTTACACCTAACTTTCAGGGGTTGGTGATACATGTACCGGTATATAATTCTCTGGTCGAGTAAAACATGAACAGCTAGGTTCCACTGTGCTTTTCTTAATCGGTAAAATCTTACTAAACCTACAGGTTTTTAAGGAGAGAGTAAAAACAGGTGATGAACAAGACACATGCATTTAGCTCTCTGGAGATGAGGTCCAAGAATTTGTCTTTGAACAAACTCGCAAAATCAATCTCAAAGGGAGGGGTGTGTTGGAAACTGACTGGAAAGAAACGAATTCATGCCCAGGGACACATGACCTTCTGTGAAATTGAGGCAATCACTTCGACTTGATTCTCGAAATCTCCAGGAATAAATATACATCTCTGTGATTTGTCCAACCACCAGTCTAGCATGCATCACATCATTGTCACATTGACTGAGTGGCTCATCTCAACAGGTTAGACTTTCCCGAGGACTTCATAAAACAGCTGGCAGATTCAATGGGATCAGCTGCAAAAGACTATGGATTTACGTCAGCAATATTTCTCTGCTTCAATTTGTTGTGCAAAGACTAGCAGTCATAAATTTCCCTGGAAACAAATACGTCAGCCATCAGGATGACAGGTGTAGCAATGAAATAATGAGTTCCGAGAGGTCTTACAAAAACATCTGTGGTGTTGTACTTTAATTAACAAGCATTTTTACAAGGTTCAGAGATTCCAGGTTATGACTTTTTTCCAAAAATGAACTTCCATGGCCTCTTTGTAAAACTCCACATTGTAATAAAAGTTCAAAGACACAGTGTCAGCACCCCACCAACAGTTGCTCCTCTCGGGGAGTATACTAACAGAAGGAATCTGTGAATAAACTGAGTACAGTAATGTGTGCCTTAAGTATACATGTACAGGTATGTATGGGCTTTCATAACACAGCCACAACTACTGATGTCTGCAGTTCATTGTGAATGTATACATAAGATGCTTTCTGGTAGCACCATGTGATAGATCTTGTGATTGACATGTGTTTTTGTGATTTTTGGAACCTATTAACTCTGGATTTTAACCAGCATGCTCCATTTCTTCCTCCTGAAATGTATCGGTCCTCTGGGTTTTCATTCCACCAAAATCCTGATCCTGTTCAGCTGAGTCAACTCACCATTAACCCAATGATGCAGAATTCCTCTGCAAGAAATCAACTTCTAGAAATTACTGCAACCAGCACCCCCCCTTTAAAAGAAAGAAAAACAAGCTGGCCGCCTCTAGCTCTCGAAAATTACCAGCCACTCATTATATTACACCACAGCCTCAGGCACAGAAAACAAAACCCGAATACAATCAGGGCTAGCTTCATCATCTGGAATGTCTGGAAACAGAATATTTCGTGACCACCAACCACCCAAACCAACTTCACTTTTATTATTTTTTTTCCCCAGGGCTCTGGGAATATTAGCAGGTAGCCAACATTACTAATGGGGCAATTTCCAGAACAAATTAGAGCCAATTTACTGGAGGATCAAGCTTGCTGCTAGTAATTGTAACAGTGATGCAAAGGCATGATGGGAAATCCCCTGAGAAGTCGTCAATTACATTTCGGACTTGATAAACCTTCCAAGTATCCATTACCCATTTCAACTTGAAATCATTCACCTCGGGTATATCCTCTTAATTAACATTTAACAATGGCCTAATTTCACAGTGGTGCACAAATACAGAAATTCCTAATCCCATTATATTATCAATTTTGGGCTCTTTCGGCCAAGAACAAAACTTGAATTGAGTTAGCAAAGAGACTCAATGTGTGTAAGTCAAAAGCCAAGACTAAGAAGCACAAAACGCTGAAGCATCATCCTAAAGGCAGCTAAGCTTGAGGAAAGTAATCCATCCCTCACATTGCCCTGGAACAATTTCATCAAACGCTGATCAGAATACAACATATCTGTTTATTTAAATATAATTTACACCACAATACATTAATTGTTTATAATTCTTTGAAGTCATCCATTAAAAGATCAAAATCGTTCACGTCGCAAGTGTCACAAACAAATGCAGGAAGGAATCAAGACATTCACAGATCATAAATGTTGGACAGCATACAAATTATAAAGCACAGTAGAATTGTTGGTGTTAACTTTTTAGAGCAGCTGAGGAACAGTGCCATCGAAAAACAATTAGCAATAAGGCTTGAGGAGAAGGCTATGCCCCATTGCCTACTGGATGATCTGCTAGGTCTCGATGCTTACAGGACACTGCCTGTTATTGGATAAGGACTCCAACCCAAGGCAGCGTGAATCATTTCATTTTGCTGGGGATTTTGTTCTTTCTCTCTCTCTCTCTCCTGGTGAGTTGGCTTTAGATTGCACTTTTTGGGTGGGGATCACATCCACTGACTTTGCGACTGCACTTTTTGTAACCAAGTTCAATTACCGAGCAGGTACGATAAGTCAACCCATCTGGTGTTGAGTTCAATATGAATTCCCACACACTTCAAATTCTTTTCAAAAGTCCCAGTTCTTTTGTTGTTTTTTGCTAACAATATCCCCAGTAAGTAATAAACCACTGTTGTGGAGGCACAGTAAGTACTGAATGTTTGCGTGCAGGTGATCCGTGTACATTATGGATGTCACAATGCATGTAATCCCATGAATGATGTGGCACTAAAATCCTGGCATCTACTCCTCATGGGTTTATACTTCCTGAAATACACACACATTGCACCATTTACAAATTCTAAAGTGCATTTTCTGGTTGTAAAAAATCTATGAACATTGTCACTGAAATTTACAGACCAACAATAAAGAATGTTTAAAAGTTTCACGTCGTTGAGAATTGCAAGATGAAATTACTTCCAAAACAATTAATTATGAATTCAGTCAATAAAATGATTGCAGTTAATTTCATTTCATATCTCGAATGATTTCGAGAAAGGTTTAAGGGCTTTTCAGTAGTGAATACAGCATTTTTGTTGAAGAAATATATAGGAACACAATGATTCTCGGATTTCAATCCGTGCATACATGTACATGTATGTGTAGGCCTGGGCATCACTATTGAGAAGATGGCTAATTTATTCAAATGTGAGAATATTCAGAAAGATCATTACACTTGAAATATTGCATGCAGGACGGTGATGAACCAGTTCAGCTATTTAATCATGGATACCCAGATTACACGCTACCCCCATCCAGCGCGGAAATTACACCTGCACCGTACCTATGTGATGGTCCGATGTTTGACTTTATTACGTGTGATGCCTGCAAGCTTCCAAAATTAAGGTGTGATCATCACACCCTGGCCCACGCATGAGGACTCCCTGTAGCTCTTGCCTGCGTCAAAATAACCATTCCCGAGACAGCTACGGTACCTTGGGATGTGCTGAAGTGCACACGTTTGTGTATATTCAATGGGAAATTGCTTTTAGTGAGCATGTGCACACAACCCTCTTGTGGCTACTTTGCTAGCATTTAAATGCGAGTGCATTTCATCTGGGATCCTTGTTCACTTTTGATCCATGATTGTATTCAGGTGACGTCAACAATGAGGAAGTTCAGCCTGATGATTAACTTAGGTTGGAATATCTTTTACCAAAGGCATGATGGTCTGCATATGAGTACAGTCATCC